AGAGAGAGAGAGAGAGAGAGAGAGAGAGAGAGAGAGAGAGAGAGAGAGAGAGAAGAAAACATTACAGAGTTTCAAATAAGAGTCTTCTTGTTACTTCCCTTTGGTCCCCCCCCCCCCAATTGGCTTATTCTAAAGGAAAAGCAGTGTTTCAAAGCAAACCTATGACATACGGAATCTCAAGACATACACAAAGAAGACAGCAGAAGAAGCAAAATCTTGTTGCACACCCATGGTGAGAAGTGTCTCGCTAGAAGTGGATCATGACCTAACTCCATTTAGGGCCTTCATATTACAAAAATAAGGCATTCTCTGATGCAAAGGCTTTCCCATCTGCAAATATTTAATAAAGATGACTTTAGCCCATCTTCATCTGATTCCTGGAATGCTTTAAGAAAGGGAAACGTCATTAAAATTAATGACTGTGGGCTGGGGACACACTGCAGAGGTAGAGCACCTGCTGTGGTGTCCAGGAAGCCCTGGATTCAGTCTCAACCCACAACAAAATTTTTTTTAATTTATTAATTTTTTTAATTACACTCATGATATTCATTAATTATACTCATATTAATTATATTTGTGGTATTCATTGATTACATTCACAGTACTCATCCCATAACTATATTTATGATATTCATCAATTACATTAATTGCATTGATTTATTATATTCATGATATTATATTCTGATACTACTGTCCATTTGTGGGGCTTTTCCATCACACAAAACAGAGATTCTGTACTTAAAAAATCATTGCTCTATATTCCTTTCTTCTCCATCTTGAGATAACATCTAATCTTTCTGTCTCTATGCATTTGTATATTCTATATATTTCATGTAATACAATTCTATAGTGTTTGCCCTTTTTTGAATGTAAAAACATTTTATGTACAATTGCAGGAGAAATAATACACAGATAACTTAAACATAAAAACAGGTTATAATTCAAAAGCCAGGGTTATTTGAAACTGGAAAATACTTTCTCTGTAGAAAATAGTAAAAATGATAACATTTCCCAATGAGTCCTTTTAAGCCAAATAATAGCTGAATTGTACATATAAATATTGATTAGATTCTGGGATACAGAAGAAACCTATCTTCATCTGTTCAGAGAGCTGTTTTACTTAAGTTGTGTGAGATTCCTATTCATCTTCCCTTTCACTGTTTGATTTTCTATAGGCTAATCCATAATCTAAAAAGATTTTAGCCTCCCCTCCTGAAAGTACAGCCAGTATTTTCTTTCATCAGCTTGATATGGTACAAATGCTTATCCTAATAGTGAAATGTTTCACTAAAGCTTGCCCAGTGATTGGGCAAAACCAAAACTTATTATAAACCACAGTCATCCTAGGGTCCCCCTGCTAGGTAGCCTCCCTGGATCTGTGGGCCTGCAACGAATTTAAAACACACACATGCTGGGCGGTGGTGACGCATGCCTTTAATCCCAGCACTCGGGAGGCAGTGGCAGGTGGATCTCTGTGAGTTCGAGGCCAGCCTGGTCTACAGAGTGAGATCCAGGACAGGCACCAAAACTACACAGAGAAACCCTGTCTCGAAAAACCAAAAAAGCAAAAACCCATTTTGGTGTGTGGTGTATCTCTTGGTTGACTCGGAGTGAGTGAATTGGCTACTCTAGATTAATAATGACTTTTCTTTGCCTTGTCTGCTAGGCATGCACAAGTCCCCTCCTTTTACTGAACATGCTTTGTTTCTAAAACTCAGAGTTGATAAATAACCAAGATTAGCTATTATTTCAGACATGGTTCTACTTTTTGGTAGCTATAGCTTTTACACTAAACTGGCAAAAAATTTTCAGTTACAGTATGGTAATCTCTAGCTTATTAATGATCTGAAACATAGCCAGTTTATTTTTTAAATATAAAGGAAGAAAAGTCACCTTTCTCAAACTTAATTCAAAATGCTGACAGTATAATTTTTAAAATGTGGAACCAAGACTAAAAAGAAATAGTGTCCCCCACAACACTATTGATATTTTCTTCATTTATTTCAAATAATTTACACAAAAAATTGGGCACACATTAATTAGGACACTGGTGACAATTTGCAATGCATATAGGATGTAAAAACCAAAGATGTGAGGACTGGAGAGTCTCAGCGGTTAAAAGCACTTGACTGCTCTTCCAAATGTCCTGAGTTCTATTCCCAACAGCCACATGGTGGCTCACAGCAATCTGTAATGGGATCAGATTCCTTCTGTTGTGCATGAAGACAGAGCACTCATACATAAAATACACAAATAAATAAATCTTTAAAAAAAAAAAAAAAAAGATGTGATTCACCCACTGAAACTGATTTCAGCTACTTCTCTTTAACCCTGACCCCAGCCTTCATGGCCCAAAATAACCTCGCCAGTCAGCAACCACAGAGGTGGTAACTCAGTTCCCTGGAGCCAGGAAGGGGAAGACAGCAAAAGTGTACAAGCACAAGCTACATAAACAGGCTTCAGTGAGTGAGAGCTGAAACAAGTTAGAAAAAGGAAAAAAAAAAATCCATTTCAAGTTAGTATGTTTCAAACCAAAAGAAGATAGGAAGACAGGAGGCAGGAAAGACGTTAGGAACCGGCAGAGAGCCATAGATGAAACCCAGAGAAGGAACAGCAAGTGCAGATTGAGACAGGCCACCAGTGAGATAAAGGTAGCAAAGCAGAATCTTGTCAGTGACTGTTGACTTAGGCGGCTGATCAGACCATCAAGAGTCAGCCCTCTCTAGGGACAGTTGCCTTTCTGCTAATGCAAAGTGTGCTTGTTTGCTTAAATATCAGACTGTCTCCCATTTAAAAACTAACGCATTTGAGAGCAGTCTTGACTAATTCCCTAAGGTTTGTCCCAGAAATGAATCCTTTTTTAACTAAGCTATTAAGTCTTTATTTAAAAATACAAAAATATACAGTCTCTTTTTCCACATACATAGCATGGTTGAACTAAGCCCCAAGTTAGTCCCTTTAAAAAGCTTGAGTAAGCTTGGTGAGATGGCCCAGAGGGTTAAGACAATTGCCACTTAACCTGATGACCTGAATTTGATTCCCCAGGTCAAACTTGGTAGAGAGAGAACTGCCTCTTTGTAAGTTGTCCTCTGTCTTCCACAAGTACATAATGACATGCATATATATAAATAAATAAGTGGCCGAGCAGTGGTGGCACACGCCTTTAATCCCAGCACTTGGGAGGCAGAGCCAGGCAGATCTCTGTGAGTTCGAGGCCAGCCTGGTCTACAGAGTGAGATCCAGGACAGGCACAAATACTACACAGAGAAACCCTGTCTCGGGGAAAAAAAAAAAAGTGTAGTAAAATCTTTAGTATATCATTTGAAGATGTTGGCATTGTAATAACAGATTTTGAGTTGTCATGTAGTATTTCACTAGATACTAGGAGAGTCTCTTAGGTGATGCACCTGCTTGACCATACACAATGTAATACTAATAATACTACACTACTAATAATATAAATATGTTAATACTATTAATATAATACTATTTTGATTTCAAATATTGTATTTGATGCCCCATAAATATATTCACATTTGTCCAACCTGGGTCCCAATATGGAACTGAGAGGTTACCACATAGAAACCCATCATTAGCTAGCAGTATATGCACATGCATGCACATGTATGCACTGTATCAACAGACTTTCTATTTGTTGCTGTCTACACAAATACATCCATCATTATTAGCTAGAATGTTGAAGTTCATAAACACTGGTTCTGACTGAAAAAGAATAATTTAAAAATTATTAAGTGTATTATTATTATTAAGTGTATTATAGTTCTGGTATATGCTTTATTTTAACTATACTACAGATGTCTTTTGAAACAGTCTTGCTTTATAGTCCAGGCTATCCTCAAACTTGTCATTCTCCTGCCTCAGCCTACTACATGCTAGGATTATGAATGTGCAAAACCATAGCCAGCTGATGCTGTAATTTTTACAATCTTCATATTGATGGTATGCCTTAATAATAGTCATTCTATTTAAATGGCGAAGTATAACTTCTCAGCTACATAGTTACTTATATCACATATAAACTAATTGGAGTGGAGTGTTGCTGCATAAACATAAAGACCTAAATTTGGATCCCCAGTATAAAAACCCGAGTATGGTGGTGCACATTTGTAATCCCAGTGCTGGAGAAGTGGAGAAGGGAGGGCCCTGGACAGTGGCTAACCAAACAGTCTAGCCACTGGGTGAGCTCCAAGGTCAGTGAGAGGCCATGTCTTAAAAAATAAGATGGAGCCAGGCATGGTGGTGCACACCTTTAGTCCCAGCACTTGGGAGACAGAGGCAGGTGGATCTCTGTGAGTTTGAGGCCTGCACAGAGCAATAGTCTGGTCTGCACAGAGAAACCCTGTCTTGAAAAATGAAATAAAAATAAAAATAAAATAAAGATGGAAGTGACAGAGGAAGACATCCAGTATTGACTCTGTCCTCCAAACATGCAAATATAGGAATGCATACACATGCTTGCACACATACACACACACACACACACACACACACA